CTGGTATACATACACGCGGCACCTCCACCTGATTCCGATTCTACAGGACCGAGACAAAACTTTCGAGTTCTTCAACCAATCCATATAATTATATCAGCCCCCGTGTTTCAACAGTCCACAGTGCAGTACCCAGGCAAGAAATAAGTTTCCCGCAAATTAATGGTCTATTTGTTTCTGAAACTGGGAAATTGGAAGAGTAGATGCGCATGATGCTGCTAGCCCGCCTACTGCCCAGTAAGTTTCAACTCATTTCCGAAATTAGATATATTTGGGACTTCCTGTTACAACGTGGACGTGTAGCTATTCGCGTATTAGCATAGTCTTACAACAAATGGGAGAAAAGAATATGATATTCCATCGACCCAGAGATGAAACAAGTACTAATATTACAAGCAAGGTGTTTTCACTTCGCCCCATGTTCTACAAGTAAATTTGTGATCTCGTCACATCGTCCCTGATCCACCTTCCGGTATTTTGTCTTGCCCACAATTTGCAAAGCGGTCTTACCGTCACCGTTGACCACTCTACGTCGGCACCGTACTCGAGCAGCAGGCGCACTACCTCCAGCGCTCCATTTTTCGACGCCGATGCAACGGGTGAAGCCGTCGTCGTCTGCCCGCGCATTTACATCTGCACCACGTTCCAGCAGTAATCGAAGGACAGAGCCATCTTTGAAATGATGACCTCTTGATGCCCAGTTTAACGGAGTCCACCCGTCCTCATCCCTAGCATCGATCTCGGCACCGTACTCGATTAATTTCCGGACCACCTCGAATTTTTCAAAATTGGCCGCGGAATGCAATGGAATACTTCCGTACTCGCCTTGAACATGCGGGTCTGCGCCGCTACGACGGAGTGAATCTGCGGTCAGGAAGTGTTCCCCCGCCAATGCTGCGATTAGTGGCCTCATACAGTAGCCTCCATCAGCGTTCACATCCTGGGGATAATTGATAATGAGGTGTTCCACGAGATCGTGGAATCCACAGAGTGCCGCGTAATATAGGGGAACCGTGGGCTTTTTGTGGTCCAGTGTGAAGCAGTGAAAGGGCGAAGGGAAGGAGGGACGAGTGTCTATGTCGTATAGGGTAAGCCACGCCTTAAAGTGTGGTTTGTCGACGTCAAAGAGAGATTCCATCCCTTTCTGTAAGCGCGATGAGACCTCCCCAAATTGGGCATGAGTAGTCCAGTGCTCGGCAGCGTATTCAGCCAGCGGATAGCCCCGGACATATTCCCGTCAACTTGAATCTCGTCGGGCGTATGTAGTAGAACGCCTAGGCAAGCTTGTGCCAGGATCGTATGCGCCTTCTCCAAATCGATCGATAAGCCGAGACCTCTCCAATTGCAGTAGAGAGACGAGTTGAGGTCAAGAACTCCTTGACCGAGAAGTGCGAAAATTGCACCACCCGTGAACAACCATCTTCGACAACAGCAGTTTTAATATCCGAGTCGATATCCAAGCTTGCATCCGAGTCGACATCACCAGCTTCGACAATAGCAATCAGACTCGAGCAGCAGTCAGAAGAGCCTGTTCTTGATCCTCCCACCGCCAATCTGCGTTCAACCTCGGGATCCCTTCCATATCATCGAAATCGACTGCGAGGACCCCCGCGAGCTCCGCAACGCGAAGAGGCCGGACGGCCACCACGAGGCATTGCAGTACTCGTTGAGCGAGGCCCTATTCGGCTTCTTGATTTCCTTCAATATACGCTCATACGTCTCATCCAGAGATTCCGGTAATTCCTTGAGCGTACGTCGGACACATGGTGGAAGACAATCCCGTAGGATTTCTAATTGACAGAATATCCAACGGAACCTGTCCGATAATTTAAACCCGCATTATGAGTACGAATCAATTCACTTACATGCCACCAGCTCGTTCAGAAAGGGTCTTAATCACGAGTTCCTTATCCTCCTTCCTCCATCTCCGCATGATTGGCTCCGAATCCGAGTAAACAACCGATCTAACGTAATCCTCGATATCCTTCTTTTGTCCGCTTTGATCGTGGAGAGAAACTCCAAGTCGGTGAGATATCAGAGGCTCGAGGACTTCCCGTATGTCTACTTCAGGGCGGCTTGTGACACATAGATGAAGATCGGGAGATGAAGGTCGATGAGCTCCTTCACGAGCTGAAGAACCCGATTGCGATCCGATGGAATTCCCGAGGTGTTGGAACATTCATCGAGGGCGTCGATTATTAGGTAGATTGGACGCTGATCGGGGAGCGTGAGCATCTCCTTCAGGCACCGTGTCAGAGTGTCATCACTAGGCTGCTGCGTGCCATCATCATGGTCGGAGTAAAGGCGTGATAGAATGTCCCAACGAAGACCCGAGTGAGAGGAAAGTTGGGTGAGAAGGGAAATGATCAGATGGCGCCAGTGCTGTTTGTCTATGTCCCGAAAGTCAAAGTAGAAATATGCCATCGAGGCTTGACCGGCATCGCACATGACTTTCATGTCTTGAATGATTGTGGAACTGGAAAATGACAAACAACATCAGTCACTTTTGAGAGATAAAGAATCGAGCCGACAAACCAAAGAATGGTCTTGCCTGAGCCAGCTACACATATAAGATCTTGTCAGGCGGTGTCCGAGTAAGGCAGGAGTGGGAGAGGGGCGCACGTTTACCATAAATCCAGAGCAGTGGTTCAGAAGTTGTTGATTTCCATTCCTGGTAAATACTGCCTCCGAAGAACCATGTCGCGGTTCCCTCGTGATGAGCATTACATGCAATGTTATGGTTCGTAGACGGATTTGGTGGCGAGAGCCAATTACGAAGGTCCTTTCGTAGTTGATTCCCTGTAACGACGCTTGAGCCTGTACATCCAGTATAAACGTTATTCGAATATCACGGACGTTTCACTTGATCCACGTCGTCAGCTGCTTGTTGCATAACCACCCTGGCTTCTCTTACTCCATCATCGACGTTATGGGTGGCCTGCAGGACTTGGGCTGTGGCCATTCGAGCCTCCTCTTGCGTCAGTTTGTCTAGCCTCTTCAGCGCATCCTCGATATCAGTCCTTCCGACCAGCTTCCTTAAATACTTTTCTGAAAATCTTTCTGTAAACGGTGACAACCTTGTACAGAAGCACTTACTTATTCGGCCTTGCTTCATCTCCTTCGTGGCAATTGCCAGAGTCGAGAGGACCTCGACCATGATCGTGGTAATTGTATCCACCATTTCTTGATTCGGTGGCACCTCCGTGTAAATTTCGAGACGTCGAAAAAACGTCTCTATGCGCTCAAAGATATCGACGAGAGTGTCTCGGCCCGCACGAACATCTTTAGCTGTCTGTAAGATCTCGATATTAAATGGCCCACGCGAAGGTATTGGGAAGGATACATACTAAAAGGAGCACCCCGACACCAGTAAAGATCACATTTACTGGTGACATAACCTGTCAAATACACTATGGGTACACATCTCACGAGTCGATGGCCTGAGGCGTACCAGACCAACACCTTCTCCGACGATCGCAGAGAAGGTATACAGGACATTTACCGTCGGGTCCAGCCATTTCGTCAGACGGTCATGACTACTTTGAGATCGATTGAGTTCTTGGACTTGCTGTTGAAGGACAAGGAGAATGCTGCTGGGAGAGTCGCAGTTTTGTAGCTGGGCCGCGAGTGGGTGGGTAACAAGATCCCTTTTCGTGCATCTTTCGTACGCTTTCAATGCATTGTTGAAAATTATTTTGAAGTTGGAGGCCTGGTTGGAGGACGACGTGGCTGCTGTGTGAATGTGGGACATAATGGTGGGGGGAACGAGGAGTTTGTTCAGCCGAGAAGATAACAAGTTACTAGAAATGGGACCACCTCACGAATTCGAAAATACCTATCACAGAGCGCTCAAGCTAGAGAGGATACTGTAACTGCTAAAATGTTGGAGACGGTGACACCGAAGGCAAATGACAGGGCAATTAAAAACAGGAATAGGCGACATTCGAGCTCAAGCTCGTATCCTTAATATCCTTCAGTAAGTCAATAATGCTGTTGAGAGAAACTCACAACAACGTGAACATCTATGCATACAGTAACACTGTAATGTGCTTTTTGAAATGTAATTTTAAGGTTACCACGTGGGGCGTTCTGGGCTGTCATTTTCAAATCGCGACAACTACTGCAATCAACAGTATCCCAAAGACGGAGCAAGGCAGCGTAGCTCGAAGGAAGCGTAGGTGACAAATCGGACAAGGCGATACGTACCTGATCGAGAATGTCCTTCCACCGGAACTCGCCGGCGGGGTCGTGTTCGAGAAGTTGATGGAGGATGTCGCGTGGAACGTACTGCATCATCGAGGTTCGTCGGCCCTTCCTATCATTCCAATCGCACGCGAAGAGACACAACGTTGCCCATAGGTGGTGAAGTGGCAGTCAAGGCGAGATCGACGGTTAAAACCTTCTCCCGCGCGTACTGCGAAAGATACCCAATTTGCCGCCACCCTGCCCATGAATCACCACCTCTGTTCGCCTTCTCGCTCACAGTATCCGCCATCTGGGGACACCAAACGCTCCTAATCATGTAGCTCTACGTGCCTCGGCGGCGAAAAAAAAAAAATTCGATTTTGTTAAATTAGGTAATTTTGACACTTAAGTTTGTGCGTTCACTGGCACGCACCTGTTTCTACATCAGCAAATTGGTCGAAAATTTGTAAGGCAATATAAGGTGTTATAACAGTCAAAATTGCCAAAACAGAGCACAGAGTTTATAAGCAATTATAAATGAGACCTTGTGCTGATAAGTTTGGTCATATTTTACAAGACGTTATAAGTTATTCTGGGGTTTATAAGTCATTTTGGAGTTTGTAGGTGATTATTAGAGTTTATAAATAATTACCGACTTTATTAGTTTAAAATAAAATTGGGGACTTTATAGGTCAGACATGATCACTTATGTTTTTCTTGGATGCTTATTATTGCTTCTTGTATGATAGTCACACGATATTTAAGTTTAAATTGCACCTACGCATACAGTAACATGGCAATCTATTGAAACAGAAAAGTGACCCACGTGGGATTTGAACCCAGGCCTTCCCACATCTGCACCAGGTGCTCTAACCCCTGAGCTACCATGCCTTGGGTTAGACAGACTGGATTGCACTTCACATCCTGGCGTCGTGGCTGTTGGTCGTGTGTTCGTGGTTCGAGTCGCACCACCGCGGCTTACAGTGTCGCACAATGAGCACGAAGCAAGTTCACATAGGCTGCCGCGCTTGCCAATGCCCATTAAGAAGTTGTCGGGCTTATGGATGAAATTGTAAGAATGAATGTACTCGATGCGAGAGACCTAGAGTACACGTAAGCAGATGAGAACTGATGGACGGTCAGCCACATCAGCAAAAGATCCATCTGCTTTTTTCCTCTTAATTTAGCTTGAAATGGTGAAATGCAGGAATATTGCAGATTCTATGTATTCATGATGTAGCCCTTTTTAATGCGATTCAAATGAGCCCTCAAGCATGCAAATTGGACAAGAATTGACTGAGTTATGCTTAAAACAAAAAACAAAAAAATATGGGCTTAAACAGCTTGAGAGCTCTTGGAACGCTCAAAAGCTGTTTTAAGGGCTTTTAAGCCATTTTCAAGCAGATGGATCTTTTCCTAATGCAGAGGACTGTCTTGAGGGAAACTTCCGGTTGCAGAAGTTGAACAGATCCCCGAGGGAGGGACCCAATAGATTGATGACCATCGCATTATAATCACATTCGGTACCGAACCAGCGCACAAAAGGGACGCCAATACCACCTGCAATCGTTTTGTATACTTTGCATTCCTTCTCGAGCTGACGGTGCTTGGGTTTCACGGACTTCAAATTGATGGCGACTTCCTCGCCTGATATGATGTTAATGCCAAGATAGATGTCACCTGCGAGGAAAGTCACGAACGTGCCTCGGAATAGAATATCTACAACATACAGAAAGTGCCGGATCCTATCTTTTTCCCGTCGATATTTGCCTCCGACACGAAGTCACTACACATCCTTTTCGAGCTACTGGTATAACGGTACCATTGGCTGCCTGGACACATTAGCATTGCCGTCAATGTATTTAGAAAAATAGGTAGCAGACCTCTCATGATCGTGGCACGCCCACGCGCCGTCCCTATACCTCTTCCCCGCATTGCATTAGGACCAACACGCTTGAACCTAGACACTCTCGAAACAATAGATCGTTGTAGCTCAAAAAGATTGACGGGCATACATGGGGGCGTTTTGTAGCATATCTGGGACGATGAAGAAACGGACCATGCTCCCCGAATATAGACTTGATCGAGCTGGGATACGCGACCATCCCTTCTGGTCACCATGATATTTATCAGAAAGATGTTGAGATTGTCTTCCGCTGCAAGGAAGATGTGTACCTAGCCATAGGAGCGGCAAGGTTCAAAGTGAGCAAGCTCAGAAGGGCAGAGCCTAATGGGTACAGAATAAGCGGTCAAATAATTCAGATGTAGAATAAATCAACGTACGGTGAATGGAGGGCACTGGCAATAAGTCTGGCATGCTGAACGCTTTTGCGTGGGGGTAGTAGAGATACTCGAGGCCAGCGAGAGTCGTAGGTGAAGCCAGAGGCTGCAGCGTCGATGAAGTCGGGACTCGAGAACTACGCCGAGTGGTGTATCTGTGAGCCATAAATGCATGAACACCAACACTATTGGAAGGTGCAAAGCGGTTCATAGGGAAGCCGAGCATATACACACCCTCGGATGGGGGCACATCAGCAAAAGATCCATCTGCTTTTTTCCTCTTAATTTAGCTTGAAATGGTGAAATGCAGGAATATTGCAGATTCTATGTATTTATGATGTAGCCCTTTTTAATGCGATTCAAATGAGCCCTCAAGCATGCAAATTGGACAAGAATTGACTGAGTTATGCTTAAAGCAAAGAACAAAAAAATATGGGCTTAAACAGCTTGAGAGCTCTTGGAACGCTCAAAAGCTGTTTTAAGGGCTTTTAAGCCATTTTCAAGCAGATGGATCTTTTCCTGATGCACATATGTACGGAGTCGCATGTGGCGGCAATAGGCCTGCGTGTGGCCCGCCGGTGTGGGCCAGGAAGCGGTGGGTGTCACGGTGGGTAATCTGCCTGGTGGCAGAAAGGCAACGAATGGTCGGGGCCCTCGGGGGCATAGGAGAACGAGTCGAGGTGGCTTCGTGTTGTTGGTGTCTGTCGAACGAGTCGCTACTGGGGCTACTGGGGCGTAGGGAGAGGCCGCGGCTGAGGAGACCACAGCCGCCGCAACACTAGCAGAAGCCACGGTCCAGTGTATTGTCTCGTAAATAGTTATAATGCCTTATAACCGTCAGAAGGTTCTGTAAACCCCACTATTCGTGCATCATACATGACATATTATATGCGCCGTAGCCACATAACAAGCTTATAATGCTTTATATGCGGGCCGCCGTATCTGGGGCTGCCTCATAAGGCTTTATATGCGGCCTCCGTTTCCGGGGCTGCCTCATAAGGCTTTATATGCGGCCTCCGTTTCCGGGGCTGCCTCATAAGGCTTTATATGCGGCCTCCGTTTCCGGGGCTGCCTCATAAGGCTTTATACGCGGGCCCCCGTTTCCGGAGCTGCCTTATAAGGCACTATCTGCGGCCGCTCAATTCCGGGGTAACTTATAAGGCCTCATAACGCACAGAAAACTGTATACGTTTCGGCCGGCCCGGAAAATACCGCAAAATCCCCAAAAATTTTCGACCAATTTGCTGATGTACTGTATCGCGCTTTCCGGAACCCTCACTGACTCGCAAAACGGCTCGCGGCCACTCCACCTCCCCCTGACTTCGCAGATCCCGCGTCCATCGACGCCATCCACGCTATGTTTTGCGATAAAGCGCTATCACAGCCTGGGCGGACCGCTGGCACGCCTTCCCAGGCAAGTACAGTATTCCAAACGATTACACGCAGAGCGTGCTATTTCCTCTGCGTGCGAATGCGGTTTCTCCCCTTAGACGGTCAACCATTTCTTGTTTGACTGTCCTCGCTACGACACCGCGATGCGGCAAACCCACGCTATGACTTCGACGACCGAGCAGTCCGACCTACCAAGCGACTACATGGGGTACTGCGGCGTGCAATCCGCACTTCTTCGGTTTTTAGAGACTACAAGGCTTGTTTCAAGTCACTCCTTTGAGGGACCTCCCCCTCTTAATGCTTTCCTGAGCGCGAAGCGCTACGTGGGCTGAGCTCGGCCAAAACATGGCCCTCATTGCTTATATCTCCCCTTCTGTCACCTTTACCATGCTCTGTACCATGTGCTAGCCTCGCTGGTCAGTTGTCTCCCAGATCGTCCTTAGTCCAAAACCGGAAACACCCGGGACCGCGTCTTTACCACATGTATGTTGCGGAATACTGTAGAGATGTTGACTCAAAAATATATTGCTTCGAGATTTCACGGGACAGAACTTCCAAGTTCTTCAATCAATCCATCCAGCCTGATCAACCTCCGTGTTCCGACAGTTATAGTGTTACCCATGCAAGAAGTACATTTCGTGCAAATTAATTGGTCAATTTGTGGGTCAAAAACTGAGAATTGGAAGAGTAGATGCGCATTGTGCGGCAGCAGCAGCTAGCCAGCCCACTCCCTACAGTTTCAACCCATTCCGAAATTAGATGTAATTGGCGACTTCCGGTCACCACTGACGTCAATAGGTAGGTGGACTGGCCGTTCGTGTATTGGCAGTCTCACAACAAATCGAGGAAATATGATATTTCTATCGACCCAGAGATCTGACATGTACTAAATATTAGAAGGTGTTTTCACTTCACCCCATGTTCTACCAGTAATCTTCTGATTTCGTCACATCGCCCTTGATCCACCACTCGGTATGCGCCCACAACTTGCAGAGCGGTCTTACCATCAACGGTGACCGCCTCTACGTCAGCGCCGTGCTCGAGCAACAGGCGCACGACCTCCAGCGCCCCATATCCCGACGCTACGTGCAACGGGGTGAAGCCCTTCTTGTCGGCCTGCGCATTTACATCTGCACCATGCTCTAGCAGTAATCGAACGACAGAACCATCTTTGAGATTATGGCCCCTTGTTGCAGCATATAACGGAGTCCATCCATCATTATCCCTAGCATCGATGACGGCATCGTACTCGATTAATTTCTGGACAACCTCAATTTTTTCAAAATAGGCTGCGGAGTGCAACGGAATAGTCTTGTCATAGCCCTGGACATGCGGGTCAGCGCCGTTATGGCGGAGTAAATCTGCCGTCTGGAAGTGTTCCCCTGCCAATGCTGCGATTAGTGGTCTCATATAGTAGCCGCCACTAGCGTTCACATCCTGGGGATTCTTGGCAATGAGATGCTCTACGAGATCGTGGAATCCACAGATTGCTGCGTAATATAAGGGAGCCGCGGGGGATTTGTAGTCCGGTGCGAAGTAGCGAAAGGTTTCACCATGGCCGGGCTTGGTGTCTATATCGTATAGTGTGAGCCATACCCTAAAGTGCGGTTTGTCTGCGTCGAAGAGATGTTTCATCCCATTTTGTAAGCGTAACGAGACCTCCCCAAATTGGGCATGAGTAGTCCAGTGCTCGGCAGCGTATCGAGCCAGCGAATGATCCTTGGATGTATTCCCGTCAATCTCGTCGTGCGTTTGCAGTAAAACGCCTAGACAAGCCTGTGCTAGGATCGTATGCGCATTCTCCAAATCGATACGATAAGCCGAGACCCCTCCACTCGCAGTAGAGAGGCGAGACGAGACTAGGAACTCCTTGACCGAGAAGTGCGAGAATTGTACGACCCGCGCATCGCCAGTTTCGACAATAACAATCAGACTCGAGCATGCGATTAGAAGTGCTTGTTCTTGGTCTTCCCACCGCCAATCTCCGTTCAACCTCGGGATCCCTTCCGAATCGTCAAAATCAACGGTGAGGACCTCTGCGAGCTCCGCGGCGCGAAGAGGCCGGATGGCCACCACGAGGCATTGAAGTACTCGTTGAGCGAGGGCCCTATTCGGCTTCCTGATTTCCTTTAATATTCGCTCATACGTCTCGTCCAGAGATTCCGGTAATTCCTTGAGCGTACGTAGGACACTTGGTGGAAGACAGTGGCGTAGGACTT